GCTGAACATTTTTACTTAGAGTACCTACACCCATTTACTTAGTACGTTTCTGAGATATAGCATAAGGTGTTATATAACACGGTGTTACTTTCCTTTTTTATATAATTTAAAAAGAATATTTTTACCCACCTGGTTTCAAGTATAATGCCATCTGGTTCTAAAACAATGAAAGGTAAACGAGAGCTTTATCAACCTTTTGTTAAAAAAAAATCAAATTTGTAATCTTGAATTCTATACAGCGAGTATATTAAAAATCTAGTATCTAAAGTTTAAAAATCTTATATAAGAAATGTGCTAGGTTTATAACTATTGCAGTCCTTTATAATCAATTTGTAATTTTTTGCAGACAAAATTTTTATACTCTAGCTATTAAAGTCAAGAACTTCATAATACAGATTTGTTGAATACTGATGCATCTCTGATAATTTCATTTTATCAATATCAATATAATATAAAGATAAACGCAACTTTAAAGGATCGACATTAAGATAAGCAGCGACTTGGTTAACAACCTAAATTTATCAATATATATAAAAAAAGAAAAATTAGATAAAAAATTAAAAATAAACAATAATAATGCATGATAATAATATTTGATAATGGGAATGATTTAAACAATTTAACGTACAACTTCATATGCCATATTTTTATTTAAAACTAAACTAAACTCAGGAACCGGATCACGATATCCGAATTTCGACTTGAATCGAACGACAATATTATTTGATAATGATTCATAAAATTGTGGAATACTATGGAAACGGCCCGCAGAAATGTGTTCATGAATCCTAAAAAAGTGAAAATTTTTTAAATAAAACTGAAACCAGATAGGCTAAAAATATTCAATGCATACTCTTTAGCCATCAACTTTTTTTGAAAACATATTATATCGCCATTTATTATTTCTGATTGTTTGAAAGTAAATACTGGATACATCCTATCAATTCTATCTGGTTTTATTTCCTAGTGTTTTAGTGAAAATATATAAATAAGAACATCCTATAGATTTATGTAATCAAATATAATATCATTAACTCACCTCATATACAACTAGAGGTGTGTCTGGAGGGAGACATTTTTTCTCACGAAGAATAGGAAAGATTTCATCAACCATACCTTCTTCCTTAACATACATCTGACCAATGCTTCTACTCATTAATATAAAGGTTGCATTAATTTTTATAATACTTTGAAATATATATATATATCAAAGTTACGTACTCTAATGACTGCGTATCTGGATCAAAGTATTTAATAAAAACAATAATTGAAGATTCATTATTCTGTGGAAATACTTTCTGTATTAGGTAATACAATTAGGCAATGATATACGATTACAAATAGTAGATGTTGAACAATAGCTTGTGAAAGCTAATATTACTTCGGAATTTATTGGTTTCTCGAATATTTCCATATACAATTTTAGTTTATCATACCCCATTATTGTTTTAGTATTTTCCATTGCTAGTAGTAATCAAAAGATTAAATATGTTTTAAAGACTCAAATAAATCAAATAACCAAGTAAATACTGTAAATGACTCACTGAATTCCAGATAATCATCGATTATAAGTTCATGTGGTCTAATAGTTTTATTTTGTCGAGTTGCAAAAATCCAGAATCTTATTTGGTTGACAGGAATTTTAAATTTTGCAGCAATCATCTTTTTAAAAGTATCAAAAGTTTCCTCTCTTAAAACTTTAAATTGAGGAATTTCAGATAATGGATGATGCTGATTATTAAAATTAACAAGGTCAAGCCCTTTATGTTTCTTAAATAGCTCTTCAGTAACAATCTAACGATAATTAAATTAAAATAAACCACAATAATATTTAATTTGAAATTTATCATTAGAAATACTGAATAAATTACCCATGTTTTTAAATATAGATAGCTTTCTTTTAATTCTTTTTGTTTTTGTTTATGAGCTGCATATTCTTTATCTGAACGGTTTTCTATAAATGAAAACGAAACAATTAAATTGCTTTTTTTTTTGATAGCTATTGAAAAATTTAGTACAGTAGATATATGTTTCATTATACACTTGCGCAAATGTTTCGGTATGTCTTTAGGATTTATCGGCGACAAAATTTCGTCAATATCAGATTT